TCCCATCGGCATGTCCTGTTGTCTCTCCTGAAGTTCAGAGCAGAAAGGGAGAGAGAAACTCTGTGGGACACACCTTGGGCACAACCCTTCTCCCTTCCTTTCTTCTCTGCTCTTGGCCTACACCTTCCAGCTTCCTTGGGCAGTACCAGTCCATGTACTTTAGACTGCAGCTCCTGGGGAAAAGGGCATCGCTGTTAGCTGCAGAGCACCACCCCTGCTCAGACCCTGGAACAGCAAGCAGGCTGCATTGGTGCAGAAACTGCAGCTCAAGGGTTAGGTGGGCAGTGGGCACAGGACCTGGGTGTCATATCGGGGAAGATCAGCACGAGTAGCCCTGTGGGCATTGCTCCCTGGCCTGCACTTGCCCGGTATTCCCTTTGGTTGTGTCCTTCTTGGTCTAGGCACATATTGTACCATGCAAACCCTGTAGCTTGGCTCCTCCTGTAGCTCTTTTGGCAAGATAGATCTTTCTGTTCCTATCAATTTGTGGGCATGTGATAGGACTCGATGGAAAGTGAGGTGAGGCTAGTAATTTGATGCGACAGCTGATATTGGGCCTAGACTGCATTTCCCACTGGCCAGGGCTGAGCTTCACAGAGCTTTTAAGAGTATTTTTAGTCCCCAGAAAATAAAAGAGAAACTAAACCTGACTCTGTGTGCTGTTGCCTCTGCATACTCGGCTATTTTTACTTCCGACGGACTCGGCCTGGGTCCAGCTTTTAAAAAAAGCTGGAATTATTTTACTTCCATTAAGAAAAAAACCCCAAAGCCTGATGTTATCAAGTCAGCAAGGGGACATCTGATCCCAAAGTTGTCGGGCAGACGTCTCTCCAAGGGGCATGTCAGAGAAATGCAGGGAGCTTGAACAGATCAGCAGATCAGCTCTCCCACTGCAGAGGCTTGCTGCTGGCACAGACCTCTCTGCAAGAGTACTTGGAACACGAGTGGCACCCACAGGACACTGAGAAAACTGACATCCCTACCCTAGGCAAAGATGCTAAGCCGAGAAGTCCTGCACAAGTCCTGGCCGTGTCCTCCTCGCTGCCAGGTCAGAGGGGCTCAGGCAGGCTGGCGAGCTGAGAGCTGCCAGGGAGCTGGGACTCGATCCTTGTGGCAGACACTGGCATCAGCTCCATGCCTGGGTCAGATGGGGTGGCAGGACTCGTGTGCAGGGTCCCTCAAAACATAACAAGATTCAATGAACAGCAGCATTTCCTTGCAACACAGGGGAGTGGGAGCAGAGGGGAAGTTTCCAGCACAGACACCATTCATTTGTGAAGGAGCAGCTACCAGAAAGGTAGGTTATCAAGGGGTGGTACCTCCCGAACTTTGCCCTATACTGTTGCATCTCCCTTTGTGTAAGCAAGCCCTCCCTTCTTTGCTGCTCTAGCAGACCCTCATTGCTGATATTGTCAGGAAGGGGGGTCTGGGAGTGCCTATGGTGGTGGCAGTTTTGTACGATGAGTGCCTTCTCTCCTGGGAACTGGCCAGTTGTGAGAGGTGGGTTTGTGCAGGAGCTGGAAGGCAACTGCTTTCTCTTGCTGCTGCCTTATTGTCAGGCTGTGGCACCAAACCCTGTGTAAGGGACCAGCTGCACCTTGTAAGTGGCTGCTGCACCTTGCAGTGCACCTTGCTCAGGTGGCTGTATGTTTGGTGCGAAATCCACCCTTGGGATTACAGTGTATGTACCACTCAGCCTTGCTCCAGCCCTCCCTCTCTCATCAGTCTTCTCCTTACACTCTCTCACTTCCATTCATATCTCAGTTTACATCCTCCTCCATTTCTTCTCTGCTCAGTGCTCTCCTTCATGCTGCTTCTCTCAGCTCACTCACGGCACCTCTTCACACCATTTTATTGTCCTTTAATGTCCCTCTCAGAGCTGCATTGTAACCAGCCTGCCTATCTTAAAATCAACCACCAAGGAAATCAAAGTAGAGCAGCAGGCATTAGCAAGCCACCCAAATACCACAGGCCAGTACCAGGTCCTGATTTCTGGCCATGCCCTTTCCTTCCATCTAGATATGACCCATCAGGTTGTCAGATCTTTGGGAAGGGATTTTGCCATGATGCTTATGTCTGGAGTGTCACAGTCAGGGACTCAGGGGTTGAAATGCTTTTGTTTGCTGTAGCACCTGCAGGTCGCTGCACACAGCAAATGGCGCTGGGATGCACTATGTAGGGGTCAGCCTGTTCAGCAGCTCTGCGGCTGGAGCAATGACGGCAGGGCAGAGTAGTGGCTCTGCAAATGCTGATTGAAAACATTTGCCTCAAGGAGTGTCACGCAGGATGGGGAACAAGAGGAGGACAAACGTTCAAAATTAACAAGCCAAAGTCCTCGGGTAAACAGACCTCTGTCTGCTCAGGGAGGGAAGGAGGGATGGAGGGTAAATCTTTCTGCGTCTCTCTTATCTTTTTTTAATGCACTTAAGTCCTTTGTGTCCTTATAATCTGATTGAGGGTCCCTAATACTGCTGCAACCTGTGCAGCCATCGGTCTGCCAAGCACTGAGGATGGCATGCTTCTCCTTGGGAGAAGGAAACGAGCTCTTTCCTCCATGTCCTCCTTACTGCTTCCAGTCCCCCCTCCCTGCTGCTGATCAAACTGCACGGCAAAAGTGTCCTGGAGCGCTGTGTGTTGGTTTCTCCGGGGCTGCGAATAGCATCTCCCAGCACCAATGACATCCTGCCCACTGGCATGAGGCAATAGACCTCCCCTGTGACTCTTCTTCTGCGAAGGGTCCTGGGGAGCTGTGATTCAGGCCTGAAGTCCTGCAGCCTGTTCTACATTCCTCCATAATCTTTGAACAGTGTATTCCTGACACTTCTAACTTACACACCTGGTTACTTGGTTTTCTGGCAGTTCCTGAAATTTGTTGTCTCTGCCTCCGCCTCCTCTTCTGCCTTATAGGTAGGTGTCATTCATTCAGCAGAGCATGGAATAGAGGTCTTATTTCTTAAGAAACCAGGGCACATTTATAGAGAGAAAGAAATCATGGATGGAAATGAAAGTTTCCTGCTTTGTCCAGGACTTTATTGGTGCTGTTCTTCAGGGATCTCCCTAGATAATCTCAGGTTTGGGATTCCTTTTCTCTGCCCTTTCCGAAATCACTGTCTGGAACATATTGGGGCTCGCAGGAAGGAGTCTTGCTCACAGGCTGCCTGCTGCTGGGAATAGAGGTAAAAGAAGCAATGGACAATGTTTTCAGAAACACTACCATTTAATGGAATAGAAAGATGGTACTTAGGCGTAGGGATGTCAGTGAATTCTCCACACAGAGTCAGAAAATAAAAATGGGTCAGGGGAAGGAAATTACACAGTGTGATATGAGTTCACCTATTCGGCTTCATTCTTTCCCTCCATTTTAGTATCTGCCATCCTCCCATAGCAGCCACTTGCAGCAGCAGTTCCTTTGCTCTGGAGAGCTCCAGGGCTGCCCATGCCTATGAGCCTCTGTCCCCACACACCATGGCTTACAGGTAATGCTACCTAGACCTCCACATGGGTGCTGCTACTGCTGGAGATCTTTTGCTGTCAGACTGTATAACTGAGTGCTGGTGGCCTAGTTGGTGTTGGTTATTCTTGCTGTTGGGCAGCTGTTGGTACTGTCTGTCATTCAGGCTGGTTTGGGTGCTCCAGCCACAGAAAGTATCAGTGTCTAGATGTTGCGGCAAGTAACGGCTTCATGTGGTGCAAGTGGGCCTGGTGTGAGCATTACAGCAAAAACTTTGTCTTTTCCATGACATAGTAAGTAAGTGTGGCATTGAAACGCACAGTGTGACAGACATGCCGCTTTGTAGGGTAGAGTATTTGTCAGCAGACTGCAGGTTTTTTCAGGTGTACAAGCTGTTCAAAAAGCATCACTTCAGAACTGATTTGGAGTGTTTGCTTTTAGTTGTTTGTGTTTATGTAGTGGATTGATTGCAAAATATTAATGGCTTGATGTGATTAGTAAGTGTATCACATAATTGGTTTCTGTGATCAGACTAGATAAACTCACATGTGTTCCTAAGGAAGTACTTGTATAGTGTAAATTCAAATTTTTGTTCTGTTTGAATGCTCCTACATTTACCTTGAAAGATTTTTTTTTTTTTTGCAATAGCAGTTTCTCCCAGCAAGACTGAGTTACCCCAGTTTCACAAGAACTGATTACCAGAGATGACCACATGAATGGCCAGAAATAACTGACAATTTGACAAATATCTATGGCTTTTTTTCACAATTTTTTTTAACATTGTATTTTGTACTAATACAGCAGTTGAGCTGCTATTCCTGGTCTGTTGATGCTGCTGTGGTTTTTTGCATGGTGACAATCACTAGTGGTTCCCAGTCACTGGGAACTTTTTTCAATGTGCTATTTGCAGTTTGCTTCACCACATTTTGAAAGAGCTCCAACAAATTCTTCCAGTGTGTCCCTACTTCAGCTTTATCATTTCTTTATTGTAGTGGAGGTTGTTTCAGTTTATTTGGGTTCTGCTTTTACTGTAGTTGCCTTACCTGATCAAGGCTGAGACATCTTTGTTGAATTCATAGTTCATAATTATTTTCTATAGGTCACTTTTTTCCAAATATAAACAGTGAGAGGTCACAGAACATTTAACTTCTCTTTTTTTAAGAACAGTCTAAAAGCTTATTTTTGTAACTGCAGGTTGAATTGACATTTAAGTCTTTCTTTTCAAAAGCAAGATCATCTAGAGGGCATTGAGGTCTGAAGCTTTGCATTTGCTAATCAGATTGATGGTGATTCAAGAGTTTGAATGGGTTAATTTCTGCCTTTATTAATGTCTTGAATGAAAGTAAACCTCACAGCAGCATGGTTACAGCTGGAGGCAGTCTAGCTGATATTATTGGGATTGCTAGGTTCAGCTGAGATCTCGAGTGTTTGGGAGAGGGAAACTCCCTAGAGTGTGGGGAACATCTTACTTAGTGAATTTTAGCATCTGCATATCAAGGTTCCCTGGGGCACTAAGGAATCATGAGGATTTATCTTGTTTTACCTGCAGGTGTTCGTCTGGATCGAGTCCGTGGAGGCCGTCAGAAATACAAGAGGAGACTGGATTCTGAGAGTAGCACTTATCTGAGCTTGCAGATCCCTCCCCCGGCTAAAAAGCCACGTACGTATTTGTCTTGAGTTGTGGTTCTCTGAGCAACCACTAAGTTTCTTTTTATTGGTCTCCCAAAACATACAGTGGAGCAGTTATCTCTCCTGATTCCCGTATCAGTCACCAGCACTAGGATCTTTTTCTTATGATCATAGTGCAGAGATAAATTAGGCAGGCCTAAGGTACAGCCCAGGTGCTGTATTCATTGTGCCTGGCATTAAATGCCAGACCTTTCATAGGACATTATGTAAATCCATTTAGTGATATTCTAATTTTTCCTGTATCCAAGCTATGTTAACAAAACTGGTGCCATGCTGATTCCTCTCTCCCATACTACACATAGTCCTCTAAACTTTTTCACATCCCACCAACTGATTATTTGTGCCTCCTCCTCCTCTCGTTGGACCTACCTGAGGCAATGGCTGACAACCTTAGAGTAGCTTTCTGCTTTTGTCATTCCTGTACAGAGCTGGCTTGGCATAGGCAGATCACTGCAGCTTGCGTAGCTGCAGTGTAGTCTTCTCTTGTTGCAACCAAAACCATGTCTGAGGTCCTGGGCTCTATAATCATGTCTTATGCCAGAAAAGTCCTTCTAGAAATGACTGTTATGACACCTTATGTCAGGAGAGATACGACAACAGCTTCTCCTTTGAAATGTGCAGTGACTAAGATCGTCTCCCACTTGCTGGTGGCTGAGCCAGAGAAGATTTATGCCATGCCTGATCCAACCATGCCGGAGAGTGACATCAAAGCCCTGACAACCCTCTGTGACCTGGCAGACAGGGAACTGGTGGTGATCATTGGCTGGGCAAAGCACATCCCAGGTAAACAAGGGATATAAGTGTGTAAACATGAACAGCAAAGGGAGCTATTATTGATCATTGTGCTTTATCAGTTTTGTCTTCAACCAGAATTTTTACATATAGTGATGGGTGGACATTACTGTCACAGAAAACTGCTTGTGGTGGGCTCTCGCTGGTAACAAATTCCAATATAGCCCGTGGTGTAGGTGTGTAAATTGATGAGTGTATGTATGCATGCCCTGGGATTATGCAGAAGGCTTTGAGATGATATGATAAAGCTCTTGGTTGTACCTGGCATAGAGTGGCACAGTGAAAGTATTTGGGAAACAGCCCTTGGGATGGTACGGTGGATTTTCGTGGTTTTGGACTGCATCAACATGACCTGGGTCTGTTGTGCTTACAGATGAATAAATATTATGGCAGTGACTGGACTTTCCTACTAATGACAAGGCAGATACCCACCCTGTCTTTAGTGGGCATTCTTTTGTCAAAGAAGGACAAAAGGAAAGCTTCTGTCATACTGGATTCGTCACAGAACAAGTCCCATTGGGGTGGAGGACATACTCACTATTGTCAGTGAATCTCCAGGCTTCTGTGCTAAAAAATGATGAGGACAACTTATTGGCAGTGTGACTGGCCTCAAAGGCTCGCTGACTATATCCAATGAGTGCCTGTACGATTGAGTGACATAGCAAGTGTCTCACACCTGCAGGTAGGATGGACGCAGGCTGAAAGAGCAGACATGGCCCTCAAGGGGGTTCTGGGGACAAAGATTTGGACTGGAAAGGGAAAATTCTCCCTCTCTCTAGTTCCCCCCCTTGTCCCCCCCGCCAAAAATGGGTAGGTTGGATTTGAGTGTGGAGTACGTGGGCCAGGGAAGTTAGGGGATATCCTTGGGGCTTACATGGCTGCTTTCCAAAGACTGCTTCAGACACTTGCTGTGAACAGCTCACTACAGCTATCTCCTGCCTTCTGTCCCCCTGCCTCGTGTCAGGAGAATATCTGAGGCTCCGCCACGGGATCACAGGATTTAACCCATATTGCACGTTGCCTGTCTTCCACTGCGTCGGTCTGTTTTCTTGCTTTGCTTCTTGGCTTTAAGTTCATCCTTGTTTGGTGAGGCATCTTAGCATGAGTGATCAGACAGTTTAGTTCTCCCATATGTTTTGTTTCTCTTTGTGCTCCTCTTTTGGCTTTTTGGTGGCTGCATCTCTGTCTTCAGAGGAAGTATTTCTCCTGTGACTCAAGGGTTAGTGGTTTCCTGGCCTATATGGAATATGGACTGTTAAATGGCGGGACTATGAAGTCTGGAGAAACTTATTCAGCACAGTGTTTCTGAGTAGAGGTTAATCTCAGTGGTGCCCTTCTTACACGAGATCTGCAGTATCTGCGGGATTGCACCCATCACTAGTGCTGGAATCCATCTGGGGCTGATTCATCACGAGTGGGGTTACAGTGCCGATTAGGCAACTCAGCCTGGATTGCTCTACTAACCCAGTACTTGGGGTGTTAACAGGAATGGTTTTAATACCATGCAATTAGCTGCTGCGGCTGTTCAGTGAAGTGGCGTTGCATGTTCTTCTAACCTTGGCTATTTCTGTTTGCACAGGGTGCCCTGCTGTAGTTTCTTAGCTTGTGGTTGTGGGATGAGTGTGGGTTGCTCAGCTCCGAGTTCCTACAGAGTTTTCTGGCCTGCCATGATGATACTATCCCAAAACAGGAGTATAGTAGAGATTACTCCTGCACTGTGAAAGGGGCTCTTCCTCTCCTTTCTGAAAGGCCGGACATACTTGCCACATTCTCAGTTTTCTCTCTGCTTTTTCCTTTCCTATCAAAGACCCTGCAACACGGTAGCAGCCATCAGCCTGGCACAGTTCAGACCAGCAGCAGTATTATAACAGGACTGTGTGCACAGGAGAGAGCTCAGGGATTGTTACACAAGGGAGCGGTACCAAGAAACACACATAATACAAGACAGTTCCTAAAAATGGAACAAAATACCCTGTAGTTCTGAAACAAATACGAAACATACTGAGTTAGGCAGCAAGGGGGCAGAGCAGGGCAGGGCCAGGAGGCTGCCAGGTGCCTAGATTATCCATGCCAGGTATTTCTGCCTTCCAAGGATTTCGAGCAAAATAAGACATTGCTTCCTGTGTGCATGAACTCTTGGACAGAGAGGGATGGAGAAAGGAACAAACACCACATATTCCTGCCTTATATTTGCACTGGCATTAGTAAAGAACAGTGTGACTGTAAAGTCATATCAGCTGTTCAGGATCCCAGGTGTCAGCACAAACTTCTCCCCCATAGTGCTAGCAAATAAAACCAGTTAAGCTTAAGGACACTCTCCTGTGATAACAAGAAAGCATGATTTAATGGTGTTTGGCAAGTGTTATTAGCTCAATAGCCTTATTAGCCATTAGCTCAAAAGCCATACTTAGCCAATGTGGAGTTGTCCCCTTCTGTATGAGGCCCCCTCCGCACTACTCACCGTCCTCCCTGTGCTAATTGTCTTTGAACAACATCTACCTTTTCTGTGTGCCTTGATGCAGGGAGACAAGACTTCTCTCGAGAGGTGACGATGAAGGCACTCCCAGGGTAGCTGTTGTGCTGTTCTCACTAGGAGGACGATAGTACTAGCACAGAATGAAATATGGCAAGTGGAGTGACAGCAGCTGTGTCTGGAGTGGCCTCAGATCCTATAATTACATCTCCCTTTATTACCTCTGCTAATGGCCCTCCAGGATGACAGAAATGATAATAAATTAACAGATTATGAACTCCACTTGCCACAAATTATGTGACTTTTTTTTTTTAATTCTGGGAGCTCCCACTGCCAAACCACTCTGAAATAAAAAAAAAAAAAATCACAAAAAATAAAAAACCTGAATGTCACATCAGCTATTGCAAATAAAACCTCTTTTCTCAACCTGCATCTGGGAAGGAGGGAAACACTCATGCAGCTCTGTGCTAGAGACAGAGACTTGTCTTTTGGCAGCCTAGGGATGGCAGTGGAACATTCAGCACCTTTCAGGATTGGATCTGAGAAAAGCAGCAAGAAACAGATCACTGAGAGCACTTTCTGGATGTTGTGTCATCAAACAGCTCAGGAATGCAAAGGGGCTGGACTCTATCCTGGGAGCTGTAAGATGGCAATGCAGCTGAATTGCACAACTAGAGGTTCTCCAGTGTTACAGTCCTACAATGGCAAGCCTGTGATTTTGGCTGGGTGAAATTAGCATTTACCTTTCCTGATCTCCAGTTTTATAGCATGGGAGAGCCCAGGTTATGTGATCTTCCCTTGCCTGTGCAGACTGCAATGATCCAGGCACAGTCCTCCAGCCCTCGCACTCTATATGTGTAAGCACTGGTGGAAAAGGGTCCCGATTCTGTCAGATGAAAGTCCAAGCTTGGCACAGCAGCACTCCCTCCCTCACGCCTGCCTGCTGGAGCTGGAGTTGTTGGCTACCCGGGAGTGCTTCTGACAGGGGGCTTTCCCAGGTGGGTAGGACAATTGCAGCTGGTTCTTCCGGTCTCCTGGCACAGGGTAAATCATGGTCTCTCCTGTGCAGTTCCCACCTGCCGTAACGGCCTCTGGGAAAGAATAATTAACAGAGATGCTGGATGTACAGGCTGCTGCTAGGGTTAAGTCAAATTTACTACTTCATTCTCTAGCAGGAAAGTATGAGCCATCTCTGTCTTGAATCCTCTCACTCCACTACATGACTGTTTCTCAATCTTTAACAAATTTTGTTGGCAGACTGCAGTGAGGCGATGGCATAACCCCTTTTGTAATCCACATGGGGAATAAAGATGCAGAAAGCCCACGAGACTGGCTCGGAAACTGGACTTAGGCAGCAGCCTAAATGCTGGGCTGTTCTCCATGGTCAGAGCCAGGAAAGAGGTGATCAAAGGAGAGATTCCAGGTGCTAGAGACTGTGACAGCGGCTGTGCACAGCACCATTACCCCTGTCTCAGGGCTGACCTCACCAGTTCCATGCGCAGCAAGCAGGAGACGTGGGGAGACAAGGATGCCAAGCCTTCGAGCTGCATCAACCTGCACTTGGACTCAGTCAGGAGGGCTGCAGTCAGGAGCAGCACAGTAGTGACTGCAGGAGGTGAGGGGCAAAGGACAAGGCACCCCTGGAGCACTCGCAGCCTGAGCAAGGAGTGGAATCACCAGGTGCAGGGCTACGTGGAGCACAGGCGGTGTCGTACAGGAATTAATCTCACAGTCTTGGAGCTGGATTTGCAGCTCTTCTCCCCAGTAGCCTGGACTCCTCTTTAGCTGTTTCCTCTGGCACTCCTCCCCAATGGTTTATTGATTCTTCCCTCCCACCCACTGCTCCCCTCAGACCTTGCACACACAACACGTGACAGCTGATTGGTATCTGTTAATTAATGTGGCCTGGGGCCTCTTTTCTATTCAGTGGCCTGATAAGGGAAATTGGATGTCCAAGGGCTGCCAGGCCATTATCACCCTTTGCTTCCCCTGGCAACACAAACACAAAACGTGGCGTAGTGATAAATAAATACCACTAACCCACCCTTCTGCCTTCCCTTCCCCAGCTGAGATAGTGCAGATAGAAAAAGAGAACCCACAGTCAGTCAATATAGCAATCATCAGCTCTTTTGTTAATTGCCAACTTGATAAAAAGAGAAATCAAATGATCATCATGGTGGCTGGCTACCTAGGCCCAGATGCGGGGCCAGGAACAGTGAGCAGGGATGGCTGTGGGATAAAGGAGTCCCGCTGAGCCTAGCACACAGACAGCAGGGCTCGGAGGCTCCTGGTCGAAGGCTAAAGACCTCACAGCCCTCTTGGTGAGCCCTGAGGCTTAATGAGCATCTAGGGAGAAAATCAGCAGGGGAAGCTGGTGTAGAGCATTGCCCCCTCAGCTGAGGGGTGCCTGGGTGTCCCATTCTCTCACAGCCCTGAGAACCTTTAGACGAAAGGAGCTGCCAAAAGCATAGTCCTTGCCTGTCGGTGCTGGGCAGGGGCTGCCTAGATGAGACCAATACACTCTGCCCGGCATCCCTGTCTGTAATGGCTGTTGCACAGTGCCTGTCTTCCAGGTTCTTCCATGGTCTGGCCTTCAAGGGTGCCTTGCACAGAGGACATAGCAGACACAGCTTTCCTTCCTGCGCACGTTTTCCCCCTCCTCGGGGCAGACAGTGCCTCTGTGTTGGCCTCTCCATTTTCTCAGGTGGGCCCTGGGGTTGTCAGGGTCTATCTCTAGATGGTGATTGCTTTTTCTGTATTTGAGGAGAATGACTTGGTTCACTGCTGGGTGCTGGTTCCATTGCTGCTGTGTTTGGCTGTGATTTAGGTACTTCTATGGTACCATCAAGGTGTTTTTGATGCTGGGCAGGGTTGTTGACAGTGAGGTGCAGAAAGCTGATGGTGTGGAGCTCAGGGAATGATGAGGAATAGAAGAAGATTCTGTTCACAAATGTATTCAGCTTTTGAGTACATTTCGGTGCTCTGTTGTGGCAGGACCTTTTGTCACGTTGGCCAAAATGAGAGACTGTGGTGTGCTTGTAGTTCAGGCCTGTGTCATTCCCTCCTATCCCATCAGAAGCCCTCTTTTCTGCCATCTGGAGCTCTTCTCTGCTCTTTGGTCAGCTGGGGCAGACTAAATACGCTGCAGTACAAAACTACAGAGGAACAGTGAGCAGGACGATGTGGTACAAAACAGTTGTTGCTATAGAAGAAGCAGAGATCATTGAAAAGAGGTTATCATTAGCCTTGGGCTGCTATAAATGCAATCAGAGCATCAGGACTCCTGTTTGAAGCCGTGGTTGGGCATGGGAGCAAAGAGAAGGGTAAGGTCCACGTGTGCTGATTACCGGCAGAGACAGGGTCACTTTAGTAAGCTTTTTTTTTTTTTTAAAGCAGCAGGCCGGTGGATGAGAGTGCTTGGGGTGAATCCCAGGAAAACTAAGGCCCCCAGGCTCCTAGAGGCTTTGCTGCACACCCATTTGACCCTGCTTGTCTTTTGCTCCATCAGGGTTCTCCAACCTTTCCCTTGGAGACCAGATGAGCCTCCTGCAGAGTGCCTGGATGGAAATCCTCATCCTGGGCATTGTGTACCGCTCCCTGCCGTATGAGGACAAGCTCGTCTATGCTGAGGACTACATCATGGATGAAGAGCACTCTCGTCTGACAGGGCTGCTGGAGCTCTACCTGGCCATCCTGCAACTGGTGCGCCGCTACAAGAAGCTCAAGGTGGAAAAGGAGGAGTTTGTCACGCTCAAAGCTCTGGCCCTCGCCAACTCAGGTACAGCCCTGGCCCAGCCAGCCTCACAATCGGGAAGTCAAAGACCATGCTGTTATCTGGCCTGGGAGGAAACTGGAGCCTGCTGCCAGAAACTGTGCTCTGCCTGTGTCATGCAACATCCTCAAAGGTCCTCTCTGTCCACAGAGCAGGACCTAAGATGGAGAGCAGGGAGAAATGAGGCTTGCTGCTGCTGGAGCCCCAGCTGTGCGCTGGCCCTGTATTGGGGAGTGGAACCAGGCAGGAATGGGCTGGCTGCCGGTTTCTGGCAACAAAAGAAAGGCTGTGGAGCCCTTCTCCACTATAGTGTTGTGAGTTCAGAAAAGGGGATGTGGGCCATTCCTGCATCCACCTCAGTAGTGTTGGTCAGTCACAGGAAACAGAGAAACCTTGGTCACATTTCAAATACCACAACAAGCTGTGGGGCTGGGGCTGCCTGGTCCTGCCCTGGAGGTGTTCAGTGACTGCAGACACTGAATTGCCCTTTAACTGGGTGACAGTGTGCATCTGCATGGTAGAGGGTAAGACATGCAGGCAGAAGCCTGATATTGCCTGTTCTGTTTCTTCTTGTGACGAGGATGAGAAAGGCCAGGGCCCTCAGGCCAGTGCCTTCCGTGTCAGCCTGGGGAGGGCTGCAGCCTTCAATCCAGCAGGCTGTGGGAGACACAAGAGGTGCTGTGTGCTGCACACGTTGCACAAAAGCCAGACAAGTGTTTGCTCAGGAGTCCCTTTGGAAAGGAAAATTGCTAAAGCTACTGTGTGACGAGGGCTCCCTCTACATCCCTGGAGTCTCACTGTCTCCCATCAGATCTCCTTGCCAAACTGCATAGTGCAGGATGCAGAATTCGCTCTTGCGCCCAGCAGTGAGTCCAGTATCTGTGTTTTGCTGAAGCCACCTTCCAGAAAGACACTGAGCATGAAGCTGAAGTGATTACAGGAGGCGGAATCTACATCTTTTGTGGTAGCTGACTCTAATAATTAAACGTTGTCTCAGTTTAAAAAAAAAAAAGTCACCATGTCTTTAACATTAGTTTGCTTGAGTTCAGCCTCCAGATACCAGTCTTTGAGCTGTGTCCTGTGACTCCAGGTCTTTCTTTTTACACCTGACAGCGTGACATGATAAAGTTCCTGTTCCATAGTTGCATTCCTTGGCTATAGATATATTACTTGAAGTGTAAGCAAGTGGTCCAGAATGCTGTGAGGCTGCCCCATCCTCACCATTTTACACCCTTCTGTTCCTCTTTGCCATCCATACTTCTTAGCAGCAGCAATTTTAAAGAAAAACAGAAAATTTACTTACAGCTTATTGATAAAAATGTTGAGTAGCATCTGGTTTTTACTGATCCCTGTGGATTTCCACTAGAAAACTCCTCCTTCAGGGAAGATTCACCACTGATAGCTACTTTGAGATCTGTCATCTAGCCAGTTACTAATCAATTGAAAGTGTGCTTTATTGATATTGCATAGTGCTAATTTTTTAATGAGAATGTCCTGTGGTGCTAAGCCAAGTGCCTTATAAAAGCCTAAGTCTATTGTATCTATGCAGTTAACTTTATCAACCAAACTTGTAATCTCATCAGAGAATGAAATCAGGTTTTTTTGACAAGACCTCTATTCCAAAGTATTGTGTTGACTGGCAGTACTTGTAATACAATCTTTTAATTCTTAATTGAACATCACTTTTTCATCCCCTCCCCTTTATTTTGCCTCGGTTCACATCAGGCTAGCATGGAAATTATCAGAGAAGACCTAGGAAAATATGTGAATTGTTAGAACTTTTCCAGTGATCTTGAATTTCTCAAAAATGCCCAGACTTGTTAATCATTAATCTGCCGTAGCTGGGCCTCAGCCAGCAATTTTAGAACTCTTAAAGCCGAGTTATCCATCTCTGCTGATTTCTGTAAAGGTTGTCCCTAACAGATATCTAACATTATCTTGCACAAACAACAGACTAAGAAGTCTTCATCATCTTCATATAACACAGGTACATACTGCTTTTTTTTTTTCTAAACAGGACAGAAATACTCACTGAGGACTTCTGTCTCCTTTGCACTGCTATTAATAGTTTAATCATTTTTAAGTGAAAAGAGCCCCCCTACAAATGGTCATTTTTCTTCTATTTCTTAAACATTTATAAAATTTCTTTATTGTCCTTAGCCCTTCCAGCCATGGATTTTCCTCCAATGTCCTTCACTTCCCTTATCGATTTTCTACACTTCATAACTTTTGATTCATATAAATTGCTATCTAGTTCCCTTTTTCAATTTCTCATATATTGCTTTTTTAGCTCTAATTGCTGCCTTCACTTTGCCACTGAACCAGGTTGGGCAGATGGCCAAGGATGGCCTGTCTCGATTGTGGGATGGTGGGTTTTGGCCATGTAATCAACTCTTGTTAAAGATCCTACCTCTTGTCTACCAAGAAGGTCACAGGATTAAACAGGGAGAAGGGCTCCTCAGAGAGGCTGAAGTGCTGAGGTGGTGGTTGTGACAGGGTGACTGGAGAAGTGCCACACTGGGACATTTATCTGGACCATGCTATGAGCAGAGACACTGCAGGACCTGAGCCTTGGTGCTGTCAAGTTCCTCAGGGTGCAACAGAAGCACTCTCTGCTGATGTTGCTCACTGTGCCATCAGGACTAAGCCCAGAGTAAGCCTTGTGGGACAGACGGTATCGGGAGTGGAGAAACACTGAGCAAAGACAGAGCAGAGCAATCAACACTTATCAGCTGCTTTGGGGTTCTGTTTCCAGCACGGTGAAGTAAAGAAACCAAGGTAAGGGACAGGAGGCACAGGCCAAAGCATGTTCTCAGCTGGAAGGGAAAAGCCATTCTGACTTCACTGGTTTCTCCCAGTGCAGCTATGTAGGAGCATAATCCACAAAAATCCTGCTTTGTTATTCGTATCGAAACATATGAAAGTAAAGTACAAGCTCTCGTTTTTCGTGTAATTAAAGCCTCCCACAACACACACTTAAGGAAGCTAGAACAGGGCAAGTGTATTTTTTGAATGTAACCTTGACATTCCACCTTCACATTCTTTTCATAAAAGTTATTTTTCTTGGCATATTTTTGACATGGAGTAAGCTTGCAGAGCCTGCATGTATGTGCTTGCATGCAAACAGCTGATGCCTGAACCAATAGGAATGCAGACTTCCTCAGGGCCAGGCCTCAGCTCCCTTGGGTCAGAGACAAGTTTTAAAGCTGAGCACTTAGATTAGCACCTGTGCTGCCTAGACCTGCTTTGTGCCTTGCCTCCCCTATAGATAAATTCCTGAATTTTCACTATCCCTGCTGGGTGTAATTGCTCATGCAAGGAAGCTTCTAGGGACTTTCCTCTCTTCCACACAGCCCTGTGTACATTGACCCTTTGTTTCTAGGAATTAAAACAAATGAAAGCAGAAGTGGGAGCTCGCTCACTCTTTGCTGGAGGAGGAGCTGACAATAGGCCAACCTTGCCAGAGCAGTGGCTGATCTCTGAGTCCTCAGTGCAGCACACCAAGGACACACCTGCTGGGACAGGCAGAGATAAGTCAAGTGACCTCTGTCTTTAGTAAGTGAATTTTAGAGAGCCGAGAAATGAATTCTTAATGCCCAGAGCAGCAGGCAAGTCCCAACAATACGAGCACCCATTGTTTGGCAGAGAAGGGGTGCACTAGACTGAACTTCTTACTCTTCAGAGCCAGCAGTCCCTTCTTAGGCATTCCTAGGTCCTATTTCCTCAGGAATACAAATTGCTCAACCTGTGTACTGAAGAGCCCTCCAGGTTAGCATACAGCACGTGTTCAGTTAAGGACATCCCAGACTGGCCAAACCCTATTTCCCCTTTTCCCCCCCAATGCATTTTAGTGCTGAGATGGAGTGAACAAGATCTGGATCTAGCAAGGGGATGTGTAGCAAATTCTGTACTAATGGGTCCTGTGAGGTCACTGCTCCTCCCACTCTTGCCAGAAGCTGCAAGAAGAGAGTTGGGTGAAGAGGCAGTGGGCCTTGACTATTCTCACACCTGCCTGGTACCCCATGCCAGCAGTGCTGGAGGAGGTCTCCTGACATGAAGCCTGACTTCTGGGCCAGCTGACCCTCAGGAACACGGTCAGGCGGCCTCCCTCCACCTCTGTGCTCTGACAGCTGTAAAAATTCATAGCTATTGATTTTGTAATTAACAGTTTATCAATGCCATCAACACCACCTCACTGATGGATTGCAAGGAAATTAATCCTGCAATGTTATTTTATTTTCCCCAGTCAGCTGCCAATTTTGAGCTTCTTTCAGCAAAGAGTGGGGGGGTGGGGCAGGCTTTGGTCTTTATTTTCCCAGTTCCTCTCCCTGTATACATCTAGGTATTGGGTGCTCTTAAGTCTCGTCGCCACACAAAAGAGGCAGAGGAGTACAGCTTTGGGATTCTGTCAGCTGTACAGCAGCATCAGTACCCAAAAACAGCACTCACTTTGGCCTGAAGCATGGCTCATTGCCTGGTGTTTGTAGCACCCGCTGGGATCTGCAGACTCTGATGGGCTGTGATTACTTCTCCTCCTTGTGCCCCTAGCCAGAAGGACATTAAACAGAAAGGCTAGAGGACGTTTCTCTCCAAGTTCCAGCTCCAGTCTTCAAAATGACCTCTGCAAATGGGCAGGAAACAGATTTCACTTACTTCTCCTGGATGGTGCATGGAAATTTTCCAGGGGTGCTACCTAGCTCGAAGAGGTTGCCAGACTGACTTGGCAACATGCTTCTCCCTCCCTACTTTTCCGAATCAACCTCTGTGGCTAGTTCAGGTCACTGTGATGACCTACCAGCCCTTCTCTGAGCCTCATTGCCTGGTCTCTTGAATACAAAAAGCAAATGCAGCAAGAACAATCCTTCTTTAGTAGGCTTCTTGGAAATACAGCCCTTTAGTATCCTCTAATTAGTGCATTCCTTCTAATCAGCTTCTTAAACAGCTTTCTTGCTATACATAATTTTTCCCAACTGTGGTAATACTTTATAAATCATGCATCATAAATAGCATTTACTATACATGTATCTTATTAAATTCACAGTCTCTAATTTGTGTTGCGCTCTCTATGGAGATGACACATATTTCTAGGGAGCTTTTGGCACTTCAGCTGGCTCTGCTCCCCTTCACTGCTGTCACACTGAGGAACCCATGTCCTCATGTTTGTGTTGTATCTGTGTGGGCTGAGCCAGGGCGCTGCCGCACTGCAAAGCCCAGCTGCAGTAGCAGGTGGTGCAACTGCATGTGTGCTTGTGTTCTTGCCATAGTGTCCCTTTGCTGCTGCTTCTGGATTCATTGCCCTGTGGCAGGAATCTTTATCAACGGGTTCAGTATCGATTAGAAGTCTCTGAACAATGACGACAAGGCAACAGTTCTCCAGCTCCGTCAGGGTTGTAAGAAAGAAGCAAGTATCAGCAAGATGAAAAGGAGAAAAACCTTCAGTAATGCTGTGCCTGGTTAGCTTCTCTAATCTGATCCCTCTGCTCTTCAGTGCTGCCCTCTGTCACCATGACTTACCCACAAAGTTTAGCAGCCTGTGTTCGACTTGGGTTCCCCAGCTCAACCCTGGGCTGGGTCACTACCAGCTACCTTTGCCCCAGAGACACACGGAGGAGCTGCACTAGCCTCGCAAACCCTTCTAGCCCCTCCGGCAGCTTGTAGAAATCTTACTGGCAGCCTCAGGGAAGAGGCCTTTCAGGAGGTGCCGGTTTCCTCTACTGAAGCAGCTGCTGGCAGGCTCCAAAAACAGGGGCATATGCGCAAAGGTGAAGCTGGCAACACCCCCGGGCACACTGGTTGTGACCTACTGGGGCTTTTCTGTCTTGCTGACACCCCGAGCAGCTGCATGGCAATTAGGCAGTTTAGACAGATGAAGCGATGTAGCAGTGTTAATTATTCTTAATGAGATTGCTCCCAAGCGGCAGCACAGCAGCTGCTGCCCCTTGCAGGGTGACTCTCCCCCTAAGGAGCATGGAGGGCAAGTGAACGTGCAAGTCACAAAGGCCCCCCGGCTGACCCCTGCCCAGCCTTAGGGTGGTTGGTAAAATGGGCAGCGCAACAGGGCACAGCGTGTCACCTATCCCTGGCAACCTCAAAGTACCTGCTCTGCTAGGCCCAATTCGTTGGGCTGATTCTGAACTTCACAGCAGCACCAACACCTGCCAGCAAGGTGGGTTTTTTTGCCTTAAGAAACAAAACAAAATAACACCACCACAAACACACCCCTCCCCCCCCAAAAAACCAAACCCATGCCAGAAGGAAAGAAAAAGAAAAAAAACACCTTTAGCTTCAGGACCATAAAGGATTTCCTTCCGCATGTCTGACTTGTCTGTCTGCTGTATTTTCTCCCTCCTTCCAGATTCCATGCACATAGAGGACATGGATGCAGTGCAGAAACTCCAGGACCTTCTCCACGAAGCCCTACAGGACTACGAGCTGAGTCAGCGCAACGAGGAGCCCCGGCGAGCAGGCAAGCTGCTCCTGACCTTGCCCCTCCTGCGGCAGACAGCCGCCAAAGCTGTGCAGCACTTCTACAGCATCAAACTGCAGGGCAAGGTTCCCATGCATAAACTTTTCCTAGAAATGCTAGAGGCAAAGGTCTGACAGCCCCAGCGCCAGCCGACAGTGGCCGGGGAACAAACTAGAAACAAAGATGCAGACAACGGAGCAATCCAAACAGCAGCAGCAGCCACCGCCGGCTTTTATCTCCAATCATTTATTATGGAAGAATTATTTAATGTCTATCTGTCGGCGTGACTGCAGAATCTCGTGTACAGGAGGGGGGAAACTCTTTTAATCAGTCACCTGTTTCTCTTTTTTTCATTTGTTTTCTCTGTGGGAAATACCAGAATATGCTCTTGCACTTGTTGAGGCAGTCATCGGGTCTCAGCCTCTCTGAGCAGTGATGCTCTCAGTGCTGTCCAGGCCGCCTGCTCCCCAGCTCCCTCCGCAGGTGCTGGAGGGGGAGTTGGGACGGAAGCAGAAAGAGAGGAAGAATAGAGTCAATATAAACTTTATCTGCTGGTGTTGTGAAGGGTCAGATAGGGAAGCAAGACAGCGTCCTTCTTTTTGTCACCTTTCTGGCTCTAACCATAGAGCAGATGCTCCTTGGGAGAAGAGCACTGCTGACCTCTCCTGATCAAAATGGCTGCCTCCCAGGCTCCTCTGGCGACAGCTAACACTTGTACATACAGGCCCCACTTCTTACCGGGAAAGATGCTCCTAACTGTGTAAGATATTCTGCGCCCTTGTACAGTGTGTCATTACGCCTGGCTAGTCCCTCCCATGTACAATCCCCGCAGGCCCCTGAAGAGGTAGGGTGTGTGTCCCCAAAGGAATGCAAATCTTCTTTCCCAGATGGCAAGAAAAAGAGATAAGAGTTTGGTGTTATGCTTCAGTGCTGGGTTGACTTGATAATCTCTGCATCCTCTCCTATGTGGTGCTAACTACAATTCTTCCACACTTTTCACCCCGTAGTGTATTAAACCTGCCTCTTCAGCTCAGCTGAGTGCCATTCCCCACTTGTTCCTTGTGGCAGAGAACACGAGGCTTTGTCTGCGTGGTTGCTGCCCCAGTATACAAACACCCCAAACCAGGGCTTTTCTAGACTTCATTAAAGTGATAGCTCTTTGCCTCCACACAGACTCAGGCTTATTGCCAAATGCTAGTTAGGAATCAAGGGCACTGCTTTTCGGAGGAGGCAGGTCTTGAGTCTGAGAGATTGTTTTTTTGTGGCAGCCTAGGGAAATACATTAGAAGGCGGCATGAAACCCCCAATATCCGAACTACTGTCTTCCCCTGCCTCATCCCATTATCCTCAACAGTGGCAAAAGAGCCAGCATAGATTATACCTGAGCCAGGTAAGAGGTTCTCTTGCTGATGGGAAAGCAAATACCTGACCTTGAGGTGGTGGGAGAAGAAGTGGGGGAATATTTATTTATTCCTCTCATGTAACCAGGTTCCTGCTGTCTCCAAGCCCTGGTTTAGATCTGCTGCCTAAGCTGCAACTGCTGCATTCCCAATAGCCAGAGGGGAATGTGGGTGACTGACAAAACTGGCTCTTGGCATTCTCTGAGATTTTGTTTTCTAGGTCACTTAGTTTTGGGCCAGCCTGAGCTGATGAAACCCGAATATATTGTCTGTTTTGCGGTCAGCATCATGGCAGTAGGGGTGAGAAAAAGCCTCTGATCTACATGTGAGACACCACTAGCTCGACTGCCTCTGTTCTCCTCAAGCTTCCATCCCTTCCTGGCCTAGCCGAGGAGAAAGGTGGTGTGGCAGAGGAGTAACTTGGCCCCAGCAGGAACCCTTCCAGACCAGGGTTGGGGCGTGTGATCAGGGAGACTCTGGGTGCTTGTTTTCTGCTGGAGCAGAATGTGTCACAGCAGGGCTGGCGATGCTGCAGAGCAACACCCAGGCTAGCTCAGAGACTGCCGACACTAACTGATGCTCACCTCTCAGCTCTTGTAGCCAGCCCAGTCCTGGTACTTGAGTTAGCTCAGTTCCGTCTCCTTTGAGTTTTGCCTACACTACACAATCATAGGTACTCTCACTCATTTTGTACTCACTTGATAAAGGAATTCAGTCTTGCTTCAGGCACGTTAGTAAACCAACAGAGACCGAAGGGGCAGAAGGCACACGGGAGCTGGGACTGCTTCCATGCTCACAGCGGTAGCAATTACACAGTGGCCTTGTGCTTTGAACAGATACTTGTGCTTCTCTCCCCAGCTCCCTCCCAGAGGCAGCTGGGGAGAAAATGAGCAGCTTTTGATTGCACTCATGATCCCTGTACCCATCTGTGACTGAGAGGGACCAAAGTGAAATGCACGCCACCACTATAGAGCCAGCTTGCCACATGTTGCACCCTGGCAGCTCCTTCTGGCTGTGGCATGAACGGTCTCACAAATGTGCTGGGTTGCGCTATCGCCTGTAAGTTTGACTCACTTGATCATTGTTGCGTCCCTGCCGAGTCCCGTCCAGCTCAGCCACAGCTCCTGACCTGCTGTGCAAAGGTAGCTGTCCCGAAAAGGGGTGAAAAGATCCTAAGAAGCAATTCTTACTCTGTTGGGCCCTGGCTGGAAAGGTCATTTACCAAAAAAAAAAAAAAAAAAAAAAAAAAAAAAAGAGAAAAAAAGAGAAAAAAGCCTCTCCCAGCTTTGCTGTATTTGGATTCTGGCCTGCTTTCCAGAACAGGGAGGGACAACTATCTACAAAACAAGATTATGAAGAGCTGCCGAGTTTGTTTCTAGCCCACAGAGACTGCTGGCTATTTAGAGTAGGGCTATGGTACGAAGGCAACTCCTGCCTTGACAGAACAGTATAAAGATGCCAAATGCATTTTTTTCTAGGACCTGCTTTCTCCATTACAGCTGCATAACCTTGGAGCCCATCTGGATATCCCTCATTGCTTGAAGATAATATGCCTGGAAATGTTTGTATTGCTTCTGAAATAGGATGGGAACTGAACCAAACAGTAATTAGCATACATTAATCTCTTTAAGCAAGGAATGCAAACTCTTCCCCAGGAACCGGGACAGAAACACCTGTCTAAATTTCACCCTTAAAAGGCTTGCACCAGCTTACGTGGGGAACCAGGTCAGGTCCCTTGGGCCCTTTAGACCAGTGCAGGAATCGCACGCATCTCTTCCCAGCTATTCTGGTCAGCTGTGCCTCACTAATGCTAGCACGTGGCCACACCTGAGGAGCATGTCCAGCTACGCAGTGAGCTGGGCTTGCAGAGAAGGGTAACCTCTTAGTGTAGTCCTCGCTGCACTTTGAAGCAGAAAAATGTGGCTTCAGCAACTGCTTAGGTCTTTGGATGCTCACGGTTTTTTACAAAAAGTTCTGGAGATGTGGAAGCTGAGACATGAACTAGGAAATGGGTTCTGGGTCAGTGCTCTTGATGCCGTTCAGTTGCAACACAGGAGTCACAGAGTCAGCGCCGTACGGCTGTCTCTACATGGGGAAAAAGATGATGGAGCTTGAGTCTTGGGACACAACTGGGCTCTATGACTTAGGGAAAAGCAAAGCAAAGTGGTAGAGGTAAGTGTGTCAGTGACAGTGAATAAGCATGAAGCCCACATCCAGCAACTACGGTAAAAGCAGCTCCAGCCCCTGATTTACATGTGCGGATAACAGAAACCACGTACCCGCCAGCTTCTACAAAAGGCAGTCCTTCCCAAGTGACCAGCTGTCCTGTTTTGAGCACATTCTTCTGTGGGAACAGCCTGTAATGCAAAACAAATTTCATGGGGATCAATTAAAAGAAGTAGTAAAATACCACACAGAATTAGGTTTCTGGGGAAACTTGGGCATTACACCTTGCAGCAGAACTGTGAAGCTGTAAGAAACTCCCCCACAACAATCAGAGCCTTGCAGTATTGCTCTTGCTAAGGGGGCATTATTTTTCTCTTTGTAAGCTAAGTCATCTTTTTTTTTAAACTATTACAAATATATAAAATAAAACATGCTGCACCAGGAACATGTAAGCAGCTATTAGAGGGGAAAGTCATTGAGAAAGACCCTAAAATGTAACTTGTTGAGCTTTTATTACCAGTCAGAGCTGAGAAAAAGAGCTTCCACTTTGTATCCACACGCTATAATCCATCATGTTGCAAAACGCCACTCTGCTGTTCTTGTGGCTGGGCTATGTGGAGAAGCCAGAGAGACAGAGGCTGTGAGAATGATGCAGGGAGTTGTAGACAGTCAGTGAAATAAACAGTATCTACTTAACTATTATCTGCTCCTAAAAAAAAAAAAAAAAAAAGAAAGAAAAACCTGTTAAATAAATTGTATTCTTGTCGTACAGGTCATTTCAAACAAAACAAGAAATAAAACACAGAAATGTAAAAACTAACCCAGCCAGTGTAATGTTTATTGTGTTTAGGAGCTGCCCCGTTCCATCCTTCGGGATGCACAGAGCCCCACGGAAGAGGCTGGGGTGGGGGAAGGTGTGATTTGTGCATGCTGCGGAAATGGAGGCGAGCCCCAGCCCTCTCACTTGGAAACGCTCATTTGGTGTTTTCCCATATCCAGAAATAGATTTCTCAGCCAGCTTCTGAGTTTTTGTGAGAGTGGCTTTGCTGAGGACTTGTTAGTCAGGCACTGGTGTCAGTCTCTGCCACGCACTGGGCTGTTTCTTCCACGCATCCATTTTCTCCCCACATTCTGCATTTCACTGGTGCAAGGAATAAACATGAGCTAGTGATGAAAAAGCCCTGAAATTGTTCCAGTGAAAAACAAAATCTCTAATCATAAAATAGACCACTGGCTTAAACCCAACAGTGACATCATGCGTGCTGCAAACATTACAGCGGCTGCCCGGTGCTTAGGAAGTGGTGCAAGTGCTGAAGTCATGGCGTTTGCATTGAGCTGGTGGTCAGCCAGTGCAGGAGGGCAAGCTCATGTCTGCTGGAGAAAGAAGAAGGAAAGGCACCGTGGTAATTAGGGCAGAGATGTGAGAAACAAGGACCCTGGGTTTTTGTTCTACCTCTGACTCTACTACAGAGCACAGACGGCGTCACACCCTGTGTAAGCACCGCCATCTCCACATGCCTTACTTCACCAGCACTGCTAAGGTCCTTCTTCCAGGCAATGGCACTCAC